GGATGATAGATAATCGGATAAGGGATCGACTAATTCCGTCGCCGGGGAATCGAAAACAGGGAAGCGTAGCCAATTAGTCGCGTCCGATTACGACGCCACGACGCTCAATTTGACGTACGATGAGCGATGGACGGGAAAAGGGTTTCGTCCACACACACACGCAGGGAGAGAGAGAGAGAGAAAGAGAGAGAGAGAAATAAACGACACAACGCGAGAGAAAGTAGTACAAGGAAATGGCGGCTTTGAAGTCGATTGTATTTCTGTAGGTGCTTGATGCAGCTTGCTTGAAGAATTTACGATCCTTGCCGCGACTCAAAAAAAAAAGAGAGAGAAAGAGAGGTAGTTAAATGTGTGTGCGTTGTGTGTATGTGAGGAACCGAAAGAAAAATAGAAAACGAGACGAAGAGCGTTCTCTTCCGCCGCACCGCTGACGAGAGGAGAGACCCGAGCCGGGGGACGAGGAAGAGGGGAGGAGATCGCACAAAGAGGAACATGAACGGGAGAAGGGGATAAAACGGTGCGAAAAGTTTTCGCATACCGAAAAGAGATATAGAGAGAGAAGAAGTGAGAACACTGCGAACACTCTGTTTCCGCGAGGAGGATCGTGCGCGCGCCTCTCTCCTCCTCCGCGTGTATAGTATATAGTATCGAGTTTACAACATACTCGATGCCCACTCGAATGTCTCCACCCGTTACACTCGCCAAGAACGAGCACGAGCCGTCACGCGATTCCGGTCCGCGTTCGCTCGTCCATTGTCCAAACGTTCCCGGTTACAGCATGCAGCCGGATCAATGTCGCGAATTTCGAAAAGCGGAGGAGCGCTCCGAACGAGCGCGTGGCCATCGGACTATGCGCTTTGACTTTTTTTTCTCTTTCTCTCTCTTTCCAAGTTTTTTGTTTTTTTTTTTTTTTTTGCATTCTACAGAAACGACATGGCTGTGCCGCAGCGCAGACAAACAAACGCGGCCGTAGAACGAGTACACGTGTACTTACGCCGATCGTTATTACCCGACCGCGTGCGTTTCGCTCCGTAACAAGTTTGTTGCTCCTTTAACAGAGATTTGCTCCTTTAACGGAGATTTCGAGCGGATTTCAATTTATTTTGCGTTTTTTGTTTTAATACAACGCACGCTCTGTCCACTGTGCCATTGTTTTTTTTTTTTTTTTTTTTTATCTTCTTCGCGATGTAACTTGGAGATGTAACGTTTAAAATCGACTGACACAATTTTCCAATCTTATTCTCGAACGCATGTCAAAGCTTTTTGCAGGTACGCAAGACGACGTCGCCGAGCGTATAAAATCCGATGACAGTCTCGTTCGCGAGATCGATTTATCGAGGAGGAGATAAGTGGAGAGAGCGACGCGTCGCGAGGAAGCGGCGCGAACGTTGCGTTTTTCATTTCTCCCGTCCTCCTCCCCCCTCCCGCCCCCCCCATCTTTATTAAACGGACGATAAACCCGCGTCTGTAAGAGCCCGGCTATACACGCGTCTGTTCCTTCATCCTGAACGGAAATCGTCCGTGCTCGCACCCGTCCTCGTCGCACTCGTGAAAACGTGAAAGAGAGAGACGATGTCTTCTCTTTCCTTCTTCTTTTTCCTCCTGTGCTCTCGCATTTGGCACGCTCGCGGCCGCTTGCAAGTCTGATCGCGCGAAGTAATGCGTATCGGCGTGAAACCGCACGGAAAGCGAGCGCGCCCGCAAACTCACGATCATCCCTTATTTTTCATGCAAGCGGATTCGCCGATTCCCGCCTGCTGCTGCTGCAAATCGGAGAAAATCGACGTCGGGCGTGCTAATATTCCCCGCCGCGAGTTCGAAAGCGAGGAGGAGTCTCAATATTCTCGGACGACGTGCGAAAGTTCCTTTCCTCGAGAATCGTGGAATTGATCATTCGTAGCGATAAACGTTTGGTTTGATTTAAAGTTTTTTTTTTTTTTTTAAAGATAAAATTTGATGAATTAATTAAAGATAAATTTTTTTACGCTCATGTTAAATAACGTATTTTGTTTTTATGAAATCGATTTTCTCCGTTACGTAATGAACACTTTTAACATTATTTAATACTTCTTTATTATTTATTTAATACTTAAAAGTTTTTTTAGTATTTAAGATGATAACACACTTTTTGTGTTAAAGTATTTAAATTTATTAAATTAATGTTCTTGTTATGTAAAATAATAACATTTTACACCATAAATTCGTTTGGATGTTTTAAGGTAAAAACAGAACGCTGATAAATATTTTGTTTTAAGTGACATATATTTTGTTTTAAAATTTGAAAAATTTATATTTACATTTAGTAAATATTGTTTACATTGATTTGTTTAATTTTTAAAGGTTAAACAAATATTGCGAGATTTAAATCTGCAAAATAAATTTTTGCATTTGTCACAATATTATATAATATATACATATATATAATGCATATGTTGCATTTTGGTTTCATAGTTGGAAAGTTTATATTTGTTTTTTCTTTTTGGAAACATTTTAATTTTGATTATTTCAACTCTCAAGATAAACAAAGAATTATAAAATTTTACGTTTGTATGTTAAGTGACACATTTTGGTATTTGAGAAGTTATTTTCTCTTCTTTTAATCCTATGGAGGTTGAAATTATTGCGAATGAGTATGCGAGAATTATGCTACTGGGTAAATCTCGTGAAAGTTTCATTCTCGAGAATCGAGTGAAACGTGGCGGAGACAGGACAATTCCCTCGAGAACAATTAACCTTTGCGCTGACGGTAAAACTCGTTTTTGTAAATGAGTAGATGAGATAGAAACTCGATTCGCGTTATTCACAGTTTACCGACATCACCAAAGAAGTTATAATAACTTCCCCCCCCCTCCCCCGGAATGAAGTCAAACTTAACTTTATATAACACATAAGGTAAAAATATATAATGACAAATGAAGAAAAATGTTTTGTTAAGTCGAGAATTTTTCTTTTCTTTATTTAAAAGCCTGTTTTTAGTTTTAAGATTTGTAAATTGCGACATTTATAGTTTTTACACGTTACGTTTTTAGTTTGTAATGTAAATACTTATTTTTAATCATATGTAATAAACTATCGCATGTACAACCATCATCAATCTCTATGTATCAAAATAATTTCTCACCCACGATTCACAATCACCCTTTCCGGCATGGTTAATACATATCTGCAATAATCCTCTTTTTTTTTTTAATTTTTTTTTTTTTTTTTTTGAGTTTTGCGCAAGACTGAATTGAAAATTCACATTTTTGCGGACCACTGCGAGCGAATTTACTGAATAAATTGGCAAAAATTCTATTTCAAAAAAAACAATGTGAAATTTGGCACAGGTGGAATAATTCCCTTGCGAAGACCAACATTTGCGTTGCGATTTAAGTTCGTTCTTGTAAATGGAAAGGAATTCTATATATATATATATATATATATATAAAATCTAATCGAATTATTCCTCGAACGTTTCACTCCCCTCAAAATCAAATTAAACTTGTTTCTTCGTTTTCGTTTTTAAATGTCAAATTAGCTCAATGTAGTCCCCGACTAACGCAAATGTGAGAGAATCAGTTTTTTTGCGCGCTTTTTTACGATTTCATCTCTTTATTTGCAACGTCGTTAAGGTTCTCATTTCTTTTTTTCTCGACGCGCGTTACGCTTTTACGGTTATCTAAATATTTTATCGAACGTAAGATTCAAATGTTTCTTCCCGAACACGGACTGTGTGTCTACGGTCTCGTTATTCTCAGCGCGTTGAAAACAGTATCTCGCTAATGCAGACGTTTTCGTTCCCCGGCGCTCGCAATCAGATCGAAGAATTTCAACGAACGCGCATAAATATATGCGCGTTCTGGCCCGCTCTCTGGCTCGCTTCTACCCTCTGATCCCTCTTTCGTTTCCCGACCTCCCTCCGCCTGCTGCCACCAACGACCGGGCGATACCGCCGCTTCTAAAATTCATTGCCCGAGCGCCGCGCAAGCGAGTCTATAGACGAAGCCAACAATTAACCCGAATCGAGAGATCTCTACGCTCTTCCCCGCTATACAACCCTCTCCCTTCCCCGGACTTACGGCAAAGTCTCAGAAGGAGCGCCCCTCGTGCAAGCTCCCAAGTTTGCACGACGGAATACCGCGCGCACACACAGGTATACATCTAAATCACCCTCGAAGAGATAGCGTGCGCCGTGTTACGGTGTTTGTGCATCCCCCGTCGTTCTCGTTTAGTGTACGTATCTGTGTGCGTACATATATACATATATATATATATTTATATATATATATACACACACACATATCGATGTGTACACGTACACCTCATCGAAGACGGTTCCTTCCCTCACACAGACGCAACAAAGGAAACGACGTTTCAGCTAACTGAAACGTCGTCGCCGTAACAATCACCATCGTCGGCTAGACTATCCCACCGTACTCCTCGTACCTTGCCCTTCCTCTTTCCTGCCACGTCTTCCCGTTACGCTTCGCTCTTCGTTGTCTATTTGCCCCCCTCCCTAGTAGCGAGGTGGTGGTGGTGGTGGTGGATGGGTCGCGCTCAAGCTTCGCCTTCTCTGTCTGTGTCCGTTGGAAGCCGATGTTGAGAGCCGAACTGCGGTGGAAGCGTAGCTTCGCCGCGGCTGCTGCGGTACTCGACGCTATTTCGCCGGCATAGTGCGACTCGGTTGCCGTGGCTGATTCAAAATAAACTTTGTTTCGTCCCGCTCGTCTGATACCCCACCTGGCCTGGGGGTTGACTTGCCTCCCCCCCCCTGACTACTGCGTACGTGATCGTGCCTCGTTGCTGACGAGGGCAACTTCGGCCAAACCCCCGCAACGTCGCGCACCTGGGAAACAGAACTGCGACCGCTGTGTAACCCAACGCTCCCCCCGCCCGTTATTAATGCCCCGATGGCGTTCTCGCCGCGGCGCTTCGTGCTCCAAATTAGATATACACGTTCTGTTGCGGCGCCAGGCTGCTTCCGCAGCAAGCTCCGCGTATCGATACGCGCCCGAGCGACGTCAATAACGCGCTTCCCGCTCGCGTTCCCCGTGTGCGCAGCCCCGCGCGAACGATGAAAACGTAAGAAAGAAGAAACGTTTGAGAAAACGTTTCGTCATTCAAGTGACGAGAGAAGCCGTATCGATGTTTTCGCGCTCGCGCGTAAAAGTCCGATCTGTCGTCGACCGACTTCCCTTGGGATGGGACTCGCGATTTTTATTGGGAGACGTGCGTTTGGCTTGAACCAAACCGCGTATATACTAACAGCCGTTAACATGTAATAACGTATAGAATAGAGAAGAAATCGAATGCCCCGAACGGAAATAAGGATGGAAAAAGAGCGGAAGAGCATACATCCTATGTTTCTCATGAATAATCTTTTGCCTTGTTATTCGCGTTACCGTCTTTTCTCATCTCGCGTCTTGTGATATATATTCATAACCGCAATGTATATATACATAGGCTCGATTTACAATTTGTATACGCGATATATTATAATATTTGTATAATTTCGCGGCGCGCATATTGCAAAACGGAAGAATAACGGGGAAATATAAATTTTACTATCAGCTGTGAGAGAGAGAGAAAGAGAGAGGGATTCGTACGTTTCCGTAAACGGGGTAAATACATTTTTATTGATGCGTTTCCGTGGCGCGCGGCGTTCGCTGTTGCAACACAATCTGTTTTTTTTTCTTTTTTTTGACAAAAACTAATATCTTTATTCGCATGTTTCGCGGAATTTCCGTCGATAAACGAAAGCAAAAGCGGTTCGCGCCGCTCTCTTTTTGCTCTTCCGCCGGTCTCACTGTTGCCTCGGCTTTAACGTGCCATACATATGTATATTGCCTGCGAACAGCATTTTGTTGTACAGTCACTTTGTCACTCTGTGAAAAAGCTCCGCGACAACAAGAAACGCGTACCCGATGCTAGAGGATATAAAAAAACATTTTAATAAGTTGTTACAATTTTATTTTCTGAGTTTTTTTTTTATTATTATTATTATCTCGATTTTACATTTAACGTGCCACTAAAACGCGGAGCGACAAATTACTTTCGCTTCCGTTCTCGCGCGCTTTAAACGCGCTCTCCGTTAAATCAGACGATATTATCGAAGAAGCAAAATCTGTTTTGTCATGAAAAACAATCAAGATTAAAAAAAAAAAAAAAAAAAAAATACAAGAGAACTCATTGTTATTTCTCTCGCCAATTACAGGCGTCTCCTTTTATTCGCGGAGAAGAACGGCGGAAAAAACGCTTTCGTCGACATCATCCGAGAGATGTTGCGTAACACAGTGTGCTAATGCTCCTGTATAACGCGCTTGTTTTTTTTTTTTTAAAGGAAGAAGTCGTCCTCGCGCGCTTATCCGAAACTCATTTTTCAAAGACCTCGCCTGATCTCTCTCACGGCGAGAGCAAATTCACTTTAATCCGCTTTCGTCCCACCCCCGCGAGCTCTATCTTCGGGCGGACATTTTCGCGCAAACCGCGGGATGACAATACGAGTGTCTATTCAGCGTTAGGAGCGCGCGATCTTTGATAAAATACGGTATCACATATATAACAGGTCAGAATTGGGTCGTGCGCACGCGCGCGCGTGCTATCTTCAGCGTCGGTGCCGATTTACTAAGGTAGAGTAATGGAACCCGGGGTTCCCGCTTTATGTCCTCTTTTACGCCGCTCGATCCGCTACGAAACGACCCTTGCAGGTACTTCCCGGCGCGCTTACGATATTCCTCTTCTCTTCTCGCCCGACGTTGGTTCGAGATACTCGTTAACCCTTGACCGCGCGCGCGCTTCCCCCGTCCACCCTCATTTGTCTTCGCATTACCGGCGCGAACGCAAACAATGACACGCAAATCGAGACACAAACGCGTCTCGACAAAAAAAAAAAAATAGCGCGAGCTCTCACGAGACAAAAAAAAAAAAAAAAAGATTCAATAAAATATACAACGCGATAACAATCGACGACGACCTCGCGGTATCAAGTGTCGAAGAGACACGTCGCGCGTCTTTTTGATTTTCTCCTTCTTTTGTTTGATTACAAATCCGCCGGTTATTGGTTGGAGAATTCACAATCCCTCCATCCTGTTTCGAGAGACAATTCACGCGCGTGAATAACTCAAACGCACTCAGAGACGAGAGAAAATGAGAGACACTCGAGCAGTTTCGTATTTCGATTTTAATAATGTTATTTGTTTCTGCGCTGTCCATACGCGGTCCTTAGAGTCGTCCCCTTCCATCGTCTCCTGCGCCAGACCTTCCTCCTGATGACTAGTATGCTATTTATCATGCGACGCCCGTGAGTCCTCCTCTCGTGGTCTCAGGCGTGATGCGACTATCTCAGAAGCAGATGGAGCGTGCCCAGGCAGAGTATTGTCACAAACGTCATCCTGAGCGTGCCGCTTCCGCTGTTGCCCTCCGAGGTTACTGCAACACATGTTGGAAAGACGTTATTACTTACCGCTCTGCGGCGACAATTCTCGTCGATGCGTCGTATCTAGAATGTTAACTAGCAGAGTCTTTCGCAGAGCGCGCAAAAGTTTTATAAAAATAAAATACTTAGAAGTAAATTTTTTTTTATTCTTCAGTTTCGTGTTTCATCAGAATTATATACGTAGAAATAATTCAACTAATTTTATTAACATTGTAAACGCCAAGCAAACAATAGCTTGCAAAGCTGCACACTTATATAATATTGTAAGAACTGAAAAAAAACTGCGACTTGTATAATATTGTAAGAAATAAAATGTTTTACATTATTGGTGTTTTACATTGTAAAAAAAAAAAAAAAAAAAAAAAACAATCGGAATATTCCAGGTTTAATAGAAAGTTATAGCTTTTAATATTTTTGCGTGACTCGATAACAATCTAAAATTAAAAACTATGCATTGAAAATGGATTATGCTTTTTATTATTCATCATGTAAAATAAAAAAAAAAAAAAAACTCCAATAAAAGGGTAGAAGCTTTGCCGAGTTTGAACAGTTCGCCCCGCAAACTCTACGCGCCGCATTCGAATTTCTAGTATCTTTGCAGCGAAATTTATATGCACTACGTGGTCCCTATTTGCACAGAACGACGGCACGTATTGGCGTATCGTCCTCGTTGAAACTTTAGTTTTTTATTTTATTTTATTTTTTTTTTTTTGGTAAAGAGATTTTTTCTACGTTAAAATGATTTACACGGTACAGCAGACTTATATATATTCTACAATAAAAAAAAAAGTGAGATACATGAAGCGAATAATGATTTTTGATTCGATCGCGAGAAACTACCGATTGATAAAGCAAATAATCTCCGTATCATTAAAATGTCATCGTTATGCATCGTTCGAAAATCGACACAGCTTACCGATTACGGTAAAGCGTCAATAAACGACGTAAACGCGCTCTCACACGATCGGCGCGGGAGATCTGATGAATAGATATCAAATTCATCGAGAAATGTGTCGCCGATAATCAGTTGATTTTAGTTCGGTTTGTACATTCCCGCACATTATCGGCGTTAACACGTGCGCGAAAACTGTGAGCGCTCGTATCGCAGACAATAATAACGCGCGATTCGCACACGCGAGCCTCAGATGTTGACAAGTTGACAGATGCGAGCGCAAGCGCGAATTATTGTAATCCAAACTACAGAGTAGTTATCGGTATATTTCGCATGACAATGCTCGAACGAGTTCCCCAACGGACATAAATCCGTTTTACGGACCCGCCGTGCATAATTCAGAAAAGACCGAGAGCGGAACATTCGAGCGGGAATAATCGCGTTTCCGGTTTCGCTTCTTCCACGTTCAATCCTTTTTTTTTTCTCCCCCGACAGAAGCGCGCGCGGACAGATAGAGATTATATTTCAAATAGCTTGAAACGAAATGGATTATTCGGGAGCGATTTCGCGCAAAACGACATTTTTTTCTCTCCGCGCGCCGAGATTAAATCTCGCTCTGGCAACCGGGACGAAGCGTGTCAACTGTTGAAATCCTTTTCGAGATGGAAACTCGGGCACACGAGCGCCCAGGGGGTGTGGGGAGAGGAGAGAAGGGTCGCCGCCATTAAGTGGAACGTCAGTGGATTTTCCTCCGCGGGGCATTGTTCCTTCTGCCGGGTGGAAAAGTCAATTTCCTAAAAACAATTCCGTCGACCACGGCCCAGGGAGTAATACGTACGAATCAAGCAACCAGCCGGCCGCGGAAAACCGAGTGTGAACGAAATGAAATTACCACCGAAGGCCGAAGAGAGAACGAATTTCTGTAACAGGCGCGGAACGTTGCGCGTGCGCGTCAAAGCGGAGGGCTCGGAAGGGACTCTTGAAAGCGGGGAAATAAGTTCGGACGGGTTTGAAAATTGAAGAGGACCGAAAATCCTCCCAGGGCCGCTTATCAATCGTCGACGGGAGTTTTTACGACGCACGTTTTCCACCTTCCTCCCTCCCCGCGATCGTTTACTATAACCCATCAAATTTATCCCAAAATGTACGGGAGTTTTGCGAACGATAGCGAAATCGTGCTCTCTCTCTCTCTCGTCTGACTGCAGATATATATATATATATATATATAAAACGATGCGATAGCAATCGTCAATATTTCGGAATATTCCACTTGCGCGGACATAAAAACCGACGGATAATCTGATCATCTCTAAACGATTGATATCGCATGTGTACGCGTTGCTTTTTTTCCCATGAATATTTAAATACTCTACACAAAATAGCGATATACACACACGTACACATATGTATCCCTCATGGATACGGGGAAACATTTTATGTTTATCGATCGCTTCGAGAGTTAATTTTTTTTTACATTGTATAATGTATACATAATTTTCTTCGCGCACGGAAACAAATACGATGAAGATAGAAAACGCGTGTTTTCTCACTCTCTCTCTCTCTCTCTGTCTCTGTGTTATTCTCGCGCGAACATAATGCGACACATAATGAATGCGGAATGAACTTTGCGCGAAGTTGCCGACGCGTGACACTTACACCGCGGAGTGTGTTTCGAAAAGTAAGTCGGAGCTGAAGGAGCGTAAGTTCGTAAATGTGGAGTCTCGGTTCCTTGGTTTTTTTTTTTTTTTTTTTGCACGGTGAGAATATATAAACGCGCGACACGTACGCGAACGGTTTCGTGACGCGTACACCCCCGTTCATGGATTTTTTCGGCTAAGGGGGCGTCTTTGAGAGGAATTGAAGCGTCGTCCGTCGTCGCGGCGCTGAAAAGCGCGCGGCAGGGTCTAGGCCACGACGACAAACTGCCGGAGGGTTCTTGATGTAAAAACTCTCGAGCCAACTTCATGAGCCGCGGTGCTCGTAAGTTCGCGACACGAGTCCTCGGGAAGTTTCGGGGAAAACGATTTACTTTAGAGTGCAACCAAGGTGCATTTCTGTTGTACCTTACTTATATACATACGTACATACACTCCACACCCCGCTTGTATATATATATATATATATATATATATATATATATATGCACGAAGATACTGGGGCGCAATGCAGCGGGAAAATTGTCAAAAGTTACTCTCGCAAGATTAAACGGGCAGAGGTTTCTCTTTCCCCCGCTACCCTGTGTGTGTGTGTTGGGCAACGTTACAACAATATTTCGCGGAATATATCGCAATCTCGGTGGATGTAAAATTATTATAAAACGAGCATATCAACGTTGATAACACCGCACGTATACACACGTATACCTATATCCGTAATAAAAGTTTTTGATGGAAATAAACGATAGCGCATATCGTAACTTATTCACGCAACGGCGATACACATTCGAATCGAAGCGGCCCGCCACACATTTTCTCCTCGTGTCTTGCGGCAATCCATTTATTCTCCCGCGTTCGAAACTAATCGGATATTCACAAGTAATCAGAAACTCAGTGAAGTTCGACGTAAACCAATAAATTGCAGGCCTCTCGAGTCGGGTATACGTGTATATATATATACATATACATACATATATATACGTACAACTTGAGAACGGAATTCTGTTTCAACTGTGCAACTCGAAAATTCCCTATAACTCCACTGTTTTGATCCGGCTGTTGTATATCCGTTCTACAGACCTTGTTTGCGGTGCATCGTCCATTAATTGATGGTTCACTGAGCGCGGACGAGTTCCGAGCGAGGAGAAGAGAGTGTCTCGCTTAAGTTTAACTTTGAACATTTTTATCGAGTCTCGAAAAAAAAAATCGATCTCTCCTATTGACAATGTTCATCTCTCGATTTTCAAACCAAAAAAAAAAAAAAAAAAACGTCGACAAATAATTGGTATTTTTATAGATTGGAAAAAAGCAGCTCAAGGGGTCGAAATTTATCACGCGGTAGTCGATTTTAGATGATCGCTTACATGACACTTCCAATAATGACGATACCGGGTGTCAGCGATCAATCACCTTCTCGTGCAGATGCCGTGTCCGCACGAGATGCGAGAGCGCGCGCGCGCGTCGTCACGCACAGCGCGCGAGATATTTCCCTATTCTAACTGACGGGAGTAGTGAGAGAGAGAGAGAGAGAGAAAGTTGGCTTGTGTGTCTACTACTATGCGGCGAAGCCAAACCGATAAGCGCGTCGCCCCGCCTTCGAGGATGTGTGTTGGTCGATCGCGGCGCGTTTTCTCCGCCCGATAGTTTGTGTCGGGGAATAATCGGGTATGCAAAGCTTTGATAACACAGCCACTTTTAAAAGGCAACTTGACGGTAGTCGCGCGATCCGCCGCGAAATTACACACTCAGGTGAGTGCAGGAGGGACGGTCTCTAGCAGACAGCTGGAGTCTCGAGTAACGGAGAATGTAGCTTTATATGCACGATGTGATTAACGATCTCTAAGAGATCTCTCGACAAATTTGTCAAGAATAAATATCTTCAAGATTTTTCCGAGAGGAATTTAATTGCGGGACACGAAATATTGCTTTATTCATTAAAATTGCGCGCATTAAATAATTACAATATCGAAACGGTAAAACAAACAATTCGTACGAAGAGTCGTCGTGAAACGTTAATGAGCTTTTAAGCGCATCTCGAGCCAGTTAATTAAAAACTATCCGATGGAAATTTATTAATTCGCAACAAAACGATGTTCATAAAACAAAAAAACAAAAAGAAAAAAATCGCGAGACAAATAACGGTGAAATAAATGAGCGGAGTTTCCATCGTACTTTATAGCGTTCTCAAATGTGCTTAAAGCGCGCAAAGAGGGAAGGACCTTTGACTCGAGCGAGCCGAGATGGCAGCAGATCTCTCTCTCGTCGTCCCCCCAAAGACGGTGTTCAAATCCCTTTCTTCTTGCCTCGTTCGTCGTTGTACACGTGAGATTAGCGTCCCGGGGTTCGGGTAATTCGCGGAGCCAGCGGGTAACGGGGTTGCGAGAAGAGAGATGTCGGGGAGGAAACACGGGGCGAACGGAGGAGACGAAGGAAACGCGACGAGACAGAAGAGCCCAAGTTTCGCCGCGAGCACCGACGTCTCGTTCCGGCCAAGTTTCCCCAACGAGACATCACCGAATCTTTCGTGCCCTGTATATATGCACGGTACCTACGTATGTTGGACAGAGAATTCCGCGGCAATTTGCCGTTAAACTTCCGCCACACGAGACGTTTTTCAGCGCGCGAGAGAACGAGCTGTGTTTTTAGAGCGAAGATGCAATCGTTCGATCGACGAATTTATATTTTGTCGGAATGTTCCTGATAATAAAACGCGAAAGGGCGGGGGCATTAATTTAGGACACCAGCGAATTGTATTTATTAGCAGCTACAAAGATACAAAATGAGAAATTTGTGAAATTTGTTAGGAAACACACTAAAATAAAGTGTTGATAATAATAATAATTTGCTTTTCTATTGTTATTAATTACACGCCATAAAACGTGAAACTGACCCGAGAGTTCGAACAATGCCCGCGGATTATTCACAGACGCGACGCAGATGACACAGTCGCGTTGAATCCACAGTGTGACGTTAGTTGCGCAGGACGTTATAACGCTGTTTCGCCGTATTGTGCATTGTTGCGTCAATATACGGTATGAATCGGACGCGTTCCGTGAAAGAATGCGCGCGAGATATTGAGATGGAATAAAACAACGAGCGTAACGGAAAATACTATTTTTGCGGTCGCTTTTATTTTCTGCAAAACGCCACACACTGCAGTCTTTTGTAGAATACCGGCGTGAGCGACCGGCGCTTATTAAATGTTATCGGGCAAACGTCATTGAAAATAAAATGAACGTCCTCGTCGAAAGAGAATATAGAGCACACAGCGGCCTTTTTCAATAAACAAATATGAGGTAAACCGAACTTCGTGGTAGCTTAACACACAGTCGCACACACACACACACACACACACGCAGATTCAATATCGGTGAAACGCGCCGTCGACAGATGCGAAAACAGCGAAAAATGTCAAGAGGTTAATACGCGAGGAGAAAAAGTGATTACCGCGTGCCGGTTTCCGAAAAAGAGAGAGAGAGAGAGAAAGAGAGAGCTTACCTCTGTGCGCGCACACAACTTTTGACAAATAACAGCGTTGTCGCGCTGTTCGGGCGCGAAAATCGAAATTTTTATACAGGTTTCTCGTAATCCCGCATTCGGTGTTCCGTAGCGTTACCGATTTATTAAATCTACGCTATGTGTGTTGGCAACCGGTCGCGGCACGTCGGGATTGAATGAGCGCGCGTTAATTTCGTTTCGCGCGAGCAAATGGTTTTCCTTTATTTTCGCATGTGTGTACGCGCATTTTCAAACAGTCCCCGGAAAAAGAGATTACTATATATATGTATATATATATTACCGCGTAACGTTTTTATTGATATCGACGACGGAATTCATTGCGCCGTGCGCGATGACTAATGAATCCGCGCACGTTTCGCGAATCGAACTCGAGATAGAAGAGGGACGAGAGGGAGAGGGCGGGAGGCGAATAGATAGGAACTTCCGGGAGAGGAAGGTCGTTCAAGGAGCGCGCGTTACAAATTACAATCGCGCGATGCGCATTTACATTGTGTTAACAATGGATACGGTGCAACAGAGCGCGCACTTCAGCCTCGTATTACGTGTGATATTTCGGTTTACCGCAGCATAGTTGATTACCTATCTCGGGAATAACTCTGGTTTACCGCCGCATAGTTGATTGGCTATATCGAAATAACGCGAGTTCATCAGCTTCGGTGCGCATTAAAGCGGCACGTATACGTCGGCGGCAACACATCACCGCCGCCGCCGCCGCCGCCGTATTGTCCGCGACGTCTCGCGATAAGAAGTTTGCGCGCCGTGTGTATGTGTGTGTGTTTGTGTGAAGAGAGAGTTTCATGAACATTCTTCGCATCGGTCCCGCGCGCGACAACACCTGCCAACCATTTCTTCAAGTCATCCATCTACTTTACGCCCGTTTCACATATTAAACTTCGGTTCACGTTAGCGGAAGAAAATCAGTAAAAACTCTCCGCGCGACAGCCTCCTCTCCTCCTCCCGTAATACGCCAAGCGCGCGCGCGCGCGCAAACATTCCCGTATTTTCCTCTTCTTCCTCCCCCTCACCCCCGAGCGCGTACATAATAAAAACACTTTGCGAATCCGCAACGCAGAAATGAGATCTTCGAACATTTCCATGGAGGTGCTTTGTGGTTTTCGTTCTGGGTTCTTTCTTTACCTTTTCTGATCACTTTGCTGAATTTTTCTTAACATTTTGAGTGCTGGCTCCGCGCGATTTCTCGAGAATTTTCAAATATTCTCTCTCTCTCTTCCGAGAACTTAATTTTTATCTCGCGTAAAATATATAAAAAGCACAGACTGCATATCGCGTCTTAAAGTAGAAAATGTTTACCGAGCAGATTGGACATTAAGGAGAAAATTTTAAATAAAAAACGAGAGAAATGCTCGAAAAAGAGGGCGGGACGCGAACCGCGAAAACTTGGATCTTGCGGAACGTTGCGCGCGTAGCTTTTAGCAATCGCAAATGTTGTTTAACTAAAATCTTACTCTTGGTCGTGCAAAATGCTGACAAATAAATTGTTGATGATTGAACAAAACGCGTACACACAAAATAACGAATAACATAAAAAATAAACAATAGAACTCGCGCGCGTTTTCTTTTCGATACGATATTTCCCAAACGAGAAATATCGTATCATAAGCAAAATATAAAACACACACACACACAAAAGGAGAACGCACAATGGCGCTTATACGTTAGTCGTGTTTTTCCCACAACGGAATTGCACAATACGCAAAACTCAAACCACTGGATATTTTCCCGGCCGGTCGAGCGACCGGAAGTATCCAATCATCCCCGTATTTTCGCGCGGAATCCATTGGAGAGTCCAAATTCAAAATAACCGCGATATATAGATTATCGAACGATACGTTTCTCGATTCCGCAGGGCATTACGCGTACGCGATCATAAAATTGAGATTGCCAACGGGGACACACCGGGGCCGGAGGGGGCCGCGTGCTGCCAGCGTCAAATCTATTGACGCGCGGCACACGAGATTGGGAAGAGTCCGCGGAGTCTAGGACCTTTGAACTCTAGAGATTTTTGTGCTGCGCAGAATCGCGGTAAACAAAATGATAATCAAAATTACACACGATATTACGACAACAAAATTGAAGGAGAAAACGTAGCAAACCGCGTGTGTTATCCCGCGCGCCGCACGATTTTAAAAAATTAAATTATTTTTTTCCTCCACTCGCGCACGCTGCCAGAGAATATTCAACGAGGAGGATGAATATGTAAAAACTCCACAGAAACTGAAAATAGTTTTGGTAAAAAATTAAAAGAGACAGCAGCGCATCCCAGGCTCGGGGATGCGCGCCTCGATGTTTATAATTTCGAAACCCCGTCGTAGCAGAAAGCGAAGAATTTCTGGGACGCGCAGTAAACGTGAGACTCTTTCCTTTGAAGTAATATTTTCAAGCAGCTTTACAATCTCGCAAATCCGTATATGTTAGAGAAGAACGACACTGTCGTGAATTATTTCGCATCCGCGCAAGAGAAAGAGCGAGAGAGAAGGAGAGAGAGAGAGAAAGAGAGATCATTGGAATACGCCAACCGCGCGCGTCGAAAGTTGGAAATGCTGGCGAATTGCGCGCACGCCAGAAAGGAGCAAAAGGGCGAAAGGACGGGGAGACCTCGACCGGCCGGAAGGTAATAGGGGAAGCGTAGGTTATATAGTCCCGTGGCCGCTCAATTAAATCTCGTCGACGTCGCGTGCAGGAAGCGGGCGCAGCGTGCACCGGAGGCTTCCTTACCGATTTCGAGTGGGTGGACCTCGCTCGCGCGAAATTTATTAGTCCGTGCGACCGACCGAGTAATCCCCCGGCCCGGCCTTGGCTGGTCCGGGCGTCTATTACTTGCAAAACGTGTGCGCTGTCTGGTTTCGCAAACGAGTTATATCGACCGAGTCGACGGACTTCGCGTAGAAAAAGCAACGTTCCACAATCGCCGTCCATTTGCTTTTGACATAATTATTGACGCTATTTGATGATGATGAAAGACCGCACGCGAGAATTCACCGACACAGATTTGTGTGTACGCAAGTTTTGGGATACTACCCGAAATCTGATCTCCTTCTAACTTGGACGTCAAACTAGTCGAAATAATTCAAACTCAGCTCGAATTCGGGTAAAGTGATTTCGCGGCAACGATTAATTAATCAAAACGCGCGGTGATAAAACTCGGAAAGTTTTGAGTCTATGAAAGTTTATAGTCTACGAGACTCAAAAATTATTCAAGTTCTTTAACTTAATAAAGCAAATTTATTTGCACACGATCGTAATTCTGATTCTCTTCAACGTCTTAGCGTTACAATTAAAATTGCAATAATAAATAAAAAAAAAAAGAGGCAACTGATATACTTACGCGAGTCAGACATTAACAGAGATTGCAAAATATAAAGAGTACAACACAATTCAGAAAGAGAATTGGGTTTAAAATTGATCAATTAAATTCCTTTTCGTACTCACCTCTTTCGGGCACAGGCTCACGCATACTGGAACCGAGCTGGAGCTCGCTATTCGCCAAGTAGATACCAGGTATCTGCGCGATGCAACGTAGGTTCAAATAGCCGTTTACGTAATGGAAAGGCTGAAGGGTGAGACCGATTTCGCTCCATTGCGTCCCCTCGTCATCCTTCGTCTCCTGATTTCTCGCGGTGGGTTCCACCTGCAAAAAAAAACAAATCATGCGTGTGAAAACCTATCGTTGGAATCGCACGAACGTTGCGCGAAAAAAAAAAAAAAAAAAAAAAAAAAAAGAGGAGAGAAAACACCGAGAGACACGGAGAAGGAAAGAGGGAGAGAGAGCGTAGAGAGTCAGGAAAATGTAAATCTGCTTTCAACGAAATCCGTTCATCCGGAATCGGGGGGAGGAGAAGCCTCCCCCGGCCTTGTCCACCCCCCACACCCCCTGGTCCCCCGGCGCTGCTTTCGTCATACCCGAGCACTCAACGACGTCCCGCGCCAAGTACAAAGACGACGGTTTCCAGTTCGATGGAAAGTTGGAGGACTTGCTCTTGCGTTTCCGGCGCCGTGTTCTCCCGATTAATGTCTTTCCTACGTTTTTTTCCTTCTTCCCTTTCTCTTGCACGAAATCGGTTCTCGTCGAGTCGCAACGAGCGAGCGAGCGAGCGAGCGAGCAAGCGAGTCTCCGTAAGTATTGGCCAGAATGATCGAGTTCCGGCTTTCTTAATGGATCATTATCGTCCCGCCAGCGGTGGACGGCGACGAAAGTAAGTTATTCGAATGAGTCGCACGCTCGAGCGATTTGCAAGTATATCCTAAGGAGTTTAGATAAACTTTAAAACGACGACAAGTCTTCCTCCGCTCGGACGCATTACGCGTCTGAGAGACGAATCTTGCTCGATGCAGAGAAAAAATTAAATAAAAAGCTCGCTCCGAGACTTATTATATTAATTAAATCATTGTTTTTTAAAAAAAAGGGAGAAAGAAAAAAAGATGAAAAAGGTGAGAAACGATTTAAAAAAAAATTTTAATTAAACGTTAAATGCATCTACTCGCTCTTCCTCCGAGATCCGAGATGTCCCGCAATAATCTTAACGCTTAATAGTTTCGCAAGTGATAATAATCTCGATAATAACATAATTTCCGATTCACGGTGTTAGGGCGCGCACCTGATGCCGGCATGTTTCAAGAAGATAGTTGTTATCAAAGTTTAATGGCATTCGCGTCCGATGTTAAACTATACACGCTGCATTTTCGTATTATATAGATTACTGAACCAATATACTGTAATAATCTAATAAATAAAGGACAATATTATTGCATAATAGTTAACACGAGCCTCGTATACGTGCGCGCCGCGTGTACACGAGGCGCATACACGTATATGTACATGTATATATATATATATATATATATGTACACACACATATATATCTTCGCTGTTAAATTGATACGTCAAGCTTAATGCTCGGCCTGAGCAAACAATAATCCAAGCGCGCGCAGGCATGCGACGTTACAAGAGCACTTGCTGACTTCACGTTTTCCCAGCCGGAGGAATTATGCAATTCGCGCGCGCGATTCCCCGGCGTGATATACGGCGGCACGCGTAAAAAAAAAAAAAAAAAAAAAAAGAATCTCAACCGATGATTAATAGCCGGCGATAGCATTGATGCCTATCTCTCACCCCTTCCCTTCTTTCACTATGAGACGCGCGCGCGGCAAAGAGTGCGCCCGAGAGCCGAATATAAATTCCGCTTTTTAAACAGCTATCCGCGAAATTCAATCTCGGATGAGAAGCGAGCGAAAGTGATTATAGCGGTTGAATACAGATTATGAGGAGGCGGTCGCTACGTCATATTTAAGGCGGACCGGATTTTCTTTATAAGGAAGAGGGCTATATATATATATATATCTTTCTCGTTTTTCCCACCCTATTTTACGCGTGTCCCGCGCGCGTGATGGAAAAATTAATAAAAAAAAGAAAAGAACGCTCGAGTTTACCTAACGGATCGTGAAATTTTCTATTATGAGATTAAATGCGCTGCGGCGGTCTTATCGTTGAAGAAAATCCGCTCTAATATTACTTCGTGCGCCACAAAGAGAGCTTTGATGCGTTCTTTGCAACGTAATATCTAATATTTTCGCGACATCAAATTTGAGGAGAAAAAATTTGGCCGATTTTGCGCGCATTTACCCGTGAACATGAAGTATCGCTCTGTCACACAACGAGGATGAACGTACCCTCCCCCCACTCGCGCGTACGTTCGTTCGAAAAGTACGTCGAGTGTGTATAAATTGTTTACACATTGAATCGATAAGACAATCGATAAGTTTCGAACGTGCATCAAAAATTTACTATTTTTAAAAGTAAGATAACGATTTCGACGAATTTTCTCTTACGTACGACATACATCGCAAGCTAGCCAATGATGCAATTAGTTCTTCAATTGAAGCGCGCGATTCGATTGAAAAAAAAAAAAAAAAAAAAAAAAAAAAAAAAACAAATTCGCAAGTTTGCGCGCGATCTCTCTTTGCGAAAAAA